GCAAGATGAATGGAGAACATTTTGATTGTAAAATTTATCTCCTCCTAGTCCTGATATAAACAATGACACAATGCGTCATGACATCAAACATCAGGACTAAATGTTTTTAAAAATGAGGTAGTATGAAGCAGCACTCTAGTTCCGTTCCAGATAGCCATAATCATCAGCTCTGCCCATCTTCTTGCTGTGCTGCTCTGAAAGGCTACAGTCTCTCAGCCAGGCCAAGACAGCTGATGGATTCCATCCCAGTGTGGTCAGGGGCTGTATCAAATATCAGCACATATTCAGGTGTGGAACAGATCAATCCAGAGTGGATAGCACAAACCTGCTTCTAAGAGAGATCAAGAAATATGTTGCTCTCCCACTGCCTTCTCCAGCGAAGTAAAAACATGAAACCAACTTTCTCAATGCTCATTCACTGCCCTGTAGGACACCTGAACATGGGTATGGTTCAGGCATGTGCTCAGGCCCTGGGTACAGAACACTAACATGACTCTTACAGCTGGTAAACACATTGATGACACTATTTCTTGTACCTGTTCTCATCATTGCCACACAATAAATATTTATATACAAGGCAGATTGTTTTCATGAGATGAGAAATGCAAACTGGCTAGGAAAAACAGGGAAGAAAACACTGAGTTTGATAAGCTGTTATTCAGATTTTCATATGGACCAGCTGAGAGAATGGAAACCAGAGGATATTTACATGTTTTGACCTACTGGGAACATACCAAGAGGCTGCATTACATGCAGGAATGCTGCTTTCTGTGCAAACCAGGAAACCACTTGTTTCTTGCTCACCCAGCAGCAGAACTAAACAGAGGAAGGGCAGCAGTCAACATGAGAGACGTTAACAGTGTATTACACTTACACTAAACGTGCTTATTCCACACCTTTCTCAAGCATATCAGTAATACTGCATTATGGAAACCTTACTGCCACTGAAAATGGTGAGTTACACCCTTCTGTGCTTTTGAAAATTGCCTTTCTGAGGAAGGAATTTAAGCTGAAGGATTTACAGAGAAATGGAAGGAAATTTTCATGCAATAGGAAAATGAAAGCTGTGATTCACAAAGGGGAACACCCCTGATAGCAGAGGAGCAAGTACTGTCCTTCCTTATTTTCCAAAACTCTGAGTCACTTTCTCTGTGTTTAAGCAAACACCACAAATGAAGTGTAAGCTATTCTTGAAAGCATTAAGGTACAGATGGTTACCTTTCTTTCATTATCATCACCTCCATCTAGAGCACAAAGGAAATAAAAAAAACCAAAACAAAACAAAACAAAACCCTATCCAGTGCTTGCTCACATTCACAAATCACATACAGATCAGATTAAAAGTGTTTTCTCTTTCATGGGAGAATGAAAATGGATGGAAATGTAGCATGAAGGGTGTATATCACATAAATGCACTAATGCACACAAATTACCGTCTTGCATTTTGCCTTCATGGAGCGTAACAAAAGTTTTTAATAAAAGCACTTCAACTCAGGCAGCTCTGGCAGTCACAGCTACATAAATTGAAAATTTCATTTGATTCATCATATCAATACCAAAATTAAAACTTCCCAATAAAAAGCATTTGCAATAGATCCACTATCATTTCTTCTACAAAATCAATGCTGTCTTTCCAGATGTCCGGTGAGCTGTGATATTTATGTCCATGAAGCACAGCTCATTTACCATTCTGCATGTTGGTAGACAGACCTGTGAGTGGCAGGCAAGAGTTGGGAGGTACAATCCTCCCACTTCACCACTGGCTCTGCCTCAACCACATGGAAAGGATATACCCCTGGACTTCTAGAAGAACATCAATGAGAAAATACTAGGGGGCATGGTAAATTCAGGTTCCAGGCAAAAATGCAGAGCTGAAAGAACAGCCTTGTCAACAAATTTCATCTTAGCCACTTCCTTAGCTCTACTCATAAGCAGTTTTCTCAAATATAATTGCTGTATAAAATACTTTATTGAATTGTTTCAGGAAATAATTTCAGTCCTTCACTGAGCTCCAGCGCAGTCTGTTGTACATTTTAGCTCTGCACTGTGTTGAAGTGTTTTACTCAAATACTAAAGTCATGTTCACCTTTCTATTCTCTGACTCATGAAAAAAATCTAAAATCAAAGATTTTTCTTGACTATTCAGGTTAGCAAGAACAAAACCTGCTTTTAGTGACTACTCAATTCCAATTCTGGCTTGTGTGATAATTCCTGATGAGAAAGTGAACACAGGAAGAGTTCAAACAATAAAAATAAAAGCTTTTGAAAATGAGAAGGAAAATTCCAGCACAACATGGCTATGAACAACATTGCTTCATCCATATAATAAGAAAATCAAAGAACCTTAAATATTTCAGTTTGCCATCTCATTCCCTGCTTTCTACTGAAATAAAATTTATTCATATATGAAAAAAAAATCTTAAACCAGCAATAGCTGCATCAGTAATCACACTTCATGTGTGCTTCTGCTGTAGAAACTATGACAATTATTCATGCCATATTGCAAAAGCACTTCAGCATGTATCATGCTCAGTTCTTGATATAAAAAATGTAACCAATACCACTTGCAACTGAACATATAACATATATGCTGTGCAGACACTTCACTGTTTTCACACCACTCTTTCAATGTGCTTGTTAGAACTACTTTTTCAATGTCATTTTAATTTAGATAACCTTTCTTCCTGAGCTTGTCTTGAACAAAGAGAAAAATCATCCGTAATTGTGAGAAAAAGCATGAAAGCTCTATAGGCACAAATACATCATTTCTGTCTTAAGTCCATATGGAGACCCTCAAAGTCAATGATGTGAGGTGGAGGAAGGAATGTCCTGCCCCTACTAAGAGGAATCTTTAAAGTATTGCCTTGTTAATTGAGGTGGTCTTCCATAAACCACCCTTTACTAGGAACCGATTTGTCTCCCACAGCTACAACACTGTATGTACTGACACCAATGGAAATTTTGCCTTTACATTTGTTTTGGTCAATATTTAATTCCACAAAGGTGTACAGTCTCAGCCATCACAAAACCCAACCCTAGGTAACCGTGTGGTATTAAGAATTATGTGGTTGCGCATACAGCTGTAACGGGATGACAGTGCTTGGCACCGTACGTACCTGGCACAAAGCTCGGATTTACCCAAAAGCTACAGAAAAAAAGCCACAGGGCTTTCTTCCGGCAGAGGACTGCGGGTGGAGGATTTGTATCTGTACAGTCTGAACTTTGATCCTGCAAATGCTGGAGGGCAGGTGATTTACCTAGGGATTTTCCCCAGGGCAACCTGTTGGGGACGAGGAAACCCAAGTTTCCCCAAGCAATCAGAATACTGTTTTATTGTATTCAGGCGCTCAGGCAGAGAGAGATTTCAGGCACCGGCGCCTGGTAACCTGAAGGACTATTTCTTCTCAGCCGTGCGCTCACCATCCACGCATCCATCCCACTCCAGCGGAATAAAAACCAGGAATTAAACACCCTTCGCCGCGGTCCAGTTTGCTCCTGACCCACACAGCGGGGCGGGCTCCCGCCACCGCCCCAACGGCCGCCCCGCCCCAAGGGCCGGCCAGCCGGCCGCCCGCCCTCTCACGCAACCAACCGCGGACAGCAGCGTTCGCCTTCCTCCCGGCCTGCCGCTCGCCATGCTGCCT